TGAGAAACAGACAACAAATTATAACTCAACAAATCAACATATAATACATTTGCAATTGAATGCTCAAGGGTTATAGCAACTTTACCGAGACCAATCACATCCCCCTTTGAATTGTTTCCAAACACAATATTTTTATTTGAGTGCGTCATCGGGGAATATGATGAAAACATACTTCTTTCTCTAGTCATATGATTTATACATCCACTATCAAGCATTCAACTTGATCCACCGGAGGAGTATGCCTACAAAACAAGTTTAGTTGCTAGACTTGGGGCCTTGTATGTTAGTCACAAGAATTTTAGGAACTCAAATAGAAGTATTCCTATATATGTTGGTTTTCTTTCCAACATATTTTGCCACCACTTTCCCACTGCTGTTGTTCCTCAAAACAAAGCATGATGTCAAGCTTTGTCGAGGTGCATAAGTCTTTGGTTGGTAGGCATACTTATTCTTGGTGGCCCACACTGATTCCTTAAGCTTCTGGAAAACCTATTTCTCCTAGTACACCTTCTTCTTGGGCTTAGTTTGATCAGGAACAGAATTGGTAGCCTTCCCATTTTTGCGGGGCGCGGCACTGCCGCCCTTCACTGCGGCGCTGCCGCTCTAGGAAGCTATACTGCCACGGTCTGTGTAGGCTGATCTATACCAATTTTGCCCTTCCTCTCAAACTGCACACACTCATAGCCATTCACTATCATTCTTCCATTTGTCTTGACTCCTTTTGTGTGACCGAGCCCATGCTTGATTGAGGGATGTCTTCCTTACTTGAATTGTGGCCCTTTTGATTCATCAACCTTCTTGTCATTGGATTGGGTCACACTTATCCACCATTTTCCAATGACTTCATTGAGCCTAGCAATCTTCTTTCTCATAGCTTCCATGTTTACAATGTTAGTAGAATAAGCATTCAAGTCAAGATTAAAATATTTTCTATAACCTTAACTAGTAGAGGGAGTAGAGGTTTCCTTTACCTTAGTAAGATGTGAGTTGCTATCCCAAAGAATGCTATATTGCATCTCAAGTTCTTTGTGCTTTTCATCTGAGTCACAATACTTTTTCTTGAGAGGTTTATTTGCTTTCTTTATGATAGCATGGTCTTCTTGCTCTTTGGCCAAGGCCTCGCGCAAGGATTCCACCTCACTTCTCTCTAATGCAAGAGCTTCTTTGCTAGCAATGTAGAGATCCTCTTGTTGAATAAGAGTCTCTTCTCTAGATTCTAGCTTGGCTTGGACACTCTTTAAATCCTCCATTAGCTTAGTGATGAATAATTTGGTCTTTCCATTCAATTTTTTAGTTATCATGTTTATTTCTTCATCACTAGATTCATCATTACTAGAGTTATCACTAATATCACTACTAGAAATATCACTAGAAGGTAGAGGAGATTTGGCCTTTGATTTGGATTTTACCTTCTCACGCTTTGCCATGAGACAAGTGTGGGGGGAGTAGTAGTCATCATCGGACATATTGTTGAAGAGCCATGGTGTAGGGGATGACTTGTGAATAGCAATTGTTGCAACCTTCTCATCCTTTTCACTTGTGCTCTCTTTAGTTGAGTCCCATTCAAGCCCAATGTGAGCCTCTCCCATGCTTTTCTTGCTCTTCCTATGTTCGGCCTTGTCCTCTTTCTTATCCTTTTTGTATTTGTTGTCCTTGATCTCATATGGACACTTAGCAATGAAGTGATTGGTGCTTCCACAATTGTAGCATGTCCTCTTTTTATTGTTTGGGAAGCTTCTCTTCACTACTTTGTAGCCTTGCTTCTTTAGCCCCTTGTGAAACCTCCTCATAAAGAGAACAACATCATCAATCTTCTCATATTGATTATCATAATTTTCACTTTTACTTGAAGATGATGTGGTCTCTACTCTTTTTTGAACTTGCTTGCTTGTTTTGGGCTTGCTAGTTGAAGCTTGTTTGTTGATCTTGGACTTGCTTGTAGAGCCTTGCTTGCTTGATTTGTTGGCCTTGAGAGCTACATCTTTGATCTTGATGCCCTCTAGCTTTACTTGCAATTCTCTAAGTTTCTTCCTCTCATTTGCTTCTTCTCTTTGCATGTCAAAGGTCAAGATCCTCTCAAGTATATCATTTGGTGTGAAGTACTCATACTTCTTCTTGTCTCTAATTAGAGTTACTACGATCTCATTTTTAGGTGAATAAGCTTTCAACATAATCTTGAAAACTTTGTGATCATCTAGCTCATTACAACCATAGCCTCTAGTCTTGCCCACCATTGTCATCAACCTATCAAACATCTCTTGTGGCCCCTCTTCATCCAAGATTACAAACCGGTTGAGCTTTGACATCAACAAGTCAATTCTTGCCTTTCTCACTTTGTCAACCCCTTCATGTGCTAGGTACAAAGTGTCCCATATTTGCTTAACAACATCAACTCCAATCACTCTATTGTAGTCATCACCATCTAAGGCACTAAGCAACACACTTGTGGCTTGACCATTGATGTGAATTATTCTCATCTCTTCTAGTGTTGGGTTCTTGGGATCAACCAGTGGCTCAAATCCATTGCAAACAATCTTCCAAATGCCAGGGTGAAGATCTATAAGATAGGCTCTCATCAAATGCTTCTACTTGGCAAAGTTAATCCCATTGAAATGAGGTAACTTGCCCATGGGCACATTGATGAAAGACCTCCGATCATGGTTAGTCATAGAAATAGAAGAGTAGTTAAATGATACGGCGACATATTTGTTGTTGTTGGCCTTGCCCTTTCCTTTCTTCTCCTTCTTGTTCCCCTCCGACACTTGGTATGACTCGTCATCATCTCCATCTTCGGAACTACTTGATATGCTTGATGATGCACTGATTGCCTTCTCTTCTTCTTCCTTCTTCTTCCTAGCTTCTCTTCTTTTTCTTCTTCCTTCTCCTTTTAGCTTTCTTGCCTCCTTCTTCTTCTCTCATTATCATTGAGAGCTCTTTCGGCATCAGTAGCCTCAAGATGTGGTAGTGTGGTGTTGCTTGCTGTCAACGCGCTAAGCTCGCTACTGTCTGTGTCGACATCCACCCGCTTCACGCCACTAGTTCCTCCTCCGGGCTCCATACCTCACGCGGTGAAACGTATATGAGGTAACCTGCACCGATACCACTTGTACGATCTCTGATTGGCCTAGAGGAGGGTGAATAGGCCTGTCAAAAATAAATATTCAAACTTTTATCAAATTCACCCTGCGGCACTGCCACTCTAGAGAGTGGCTATGCCGGACTGCGGCACTGCCGGACCAGAACAGTAGCACTGCCGCACCTGCAGACAACTTCGAGTCACAGTTCAAAATCAGTGAAGGAAACTTAGATCGGAGAAATTTCTCAGCCTATTGTAGGTATGATAGACACAGATCAAGAGTTAGAAGTTGTAGTAACACCCCACACAAGTAGATCGACTAGAAACCCTAGAAATCACCTCAACCAATAATATGAAATGCAAGTAATGTAAATCAAGTACAAGTGACACAATGATTTATCCCGTGGTTCGGCTCGCCACTAAGGCTTGCCTACCTCCACGTTGTTAAGGTTAGCCACTAAGGCTTAGGGCTTTCCAACCCTTCCTCGTTCTCAAGTTAAGAGACCTAACTCTTAGGATGAGGGGTGAGTTTACTAGCTTCAAGAGATTGTTACAAACCTTTCGGGGCTGCCACATAACTGGGTAAGCTCCACGGGCGACGCTCTAGCTGGCTAGGAGCCAAGCTCCAAGAGTAACAAACACAACCATCGACCAAAACGTGAACCAAGTGCTCTTTTGAGTTAGGGAATCAATGGAGCTTCTCTCTAATCGAGTTTTGGACCATTTTCTTTCAAGGATTGATGGAGAAATCAATAGATTTGCTTGAGGGCTCAATGTCAACAATGGAGGGAGAGAGAGAGGCTCCTTTCTGTTTTGAACAAGCTGGAGTGAGGAAGAAGAGGCAGAGAGCCGTTGGGGAGGAAGGGGAAGAGTATAAATACCCCCAGCCCCCAACGGTCACTTAAGTCATGGCAGTGCCTTTCTTCAAGTGCGGTAGTGCCACACCACGCAAGACAGCAAGAGTAAGAGTGAAGTGTGACTGTCTTGGCTATGAATATGAGGATGCATATGTATGTTTGAGCACTTGGTAGCACATATTAGCTTAAGTATTATGTCCCCCTTTATAGTATGACTTTTCTTATATTCAAATTTAAAATATAAAAGAATTTAAACCTCATTTCAGTTTGAAGCCATCAACATTTGTAATTGGGGGCTCCTCCGTTTCGTATAGCATCCTCAAATATAAATTTCGTACTTGTCATCTCGATAAATCTTATTAGTTCTCTAATTGCGTGTTTATTATCACCAAAAACCACAAGTAAAACTTGATTGCACTTTCAATGGGCAAGATTGTCGCTCGGCCCTTACCGAGTCGATGAGCCTATAACGCCGCGCTCTCCGTAACGATGTTAATTTAACGAATTTTATTTTTTATTAAATGCCACTTTAACGTTTTCACAGTATTATTATTTTATCATGCGATCTTTATATTTTTATACAAAAGTTTTACTATCCGGTAGAAACACACGGACACACCTAGTTTATACCTAATCTCTATCTCTTCTCTATCTATCTATATCTTCTATACTATATATATATATATATATATATATATATATATTATATTACAACTAAAAATTACCGAAGGGAAACGTTCACCGGCGTGCGAAAAAACGCTCGCAGCTTCGCTTGCCACCGATGTGCGAAAAAACGCTCGCGGCTTCGCTCTCCCGGCTTGCCTACACTCGCCCGCTGGTGCAGTGGACCCGGTGAACGATCACCGATTCAATCTCCAATATCCTACCCAGGCAGCAAATTGGATCGCAATCACCGCACAATTACCGCAGCCCCTGGAGGAAAAGGAAATCACCCGCGCCTGCCCTTCCTGCGCTCGCTTTGATCTTTCCGCACCCTTAACGGGATCAGCACTCAGCAAGGCAGGCCCGTGCTGCGTTTCCCTCAGCGCGTCGGAACTGGGAAGCTTCTAGGGCTCACGGACCTGGTGGCGCGCCGGTTTTCTAGAAGACAACCCACGCCACCGCCTTCTGCCCACTTTCGGCGCTGGGCCAGCGAGACTTGGAGCTGTCGCTACCGCCGGTTTTTGTAGAAGACAACCCACGCCGGTGCCTTCTGCCCACTTCCGGCGCCGGGCCAGCGAGACGTGGAGGTGTCGCCGCCGCCTCGCAACCATCATCCGCGCCTGCACCAGCACCTCACCCCGCCCCTGCCCTGCTCCGACCCCGCCGAGCACCCGTTGCAGATCCGCGACCGCGAGCAGCCCCGCTCCTTCAACCTCCGAACATCGCCGTGACTCGTCTTCGCCGGACACCGCCACGCCGAGGTCGCGTACCTCAGCGACGACCGCAGCTGACGCTATCTTCGACGCGCTCAAACGCGGCCGAGGGAGACGCCGCAGCCGGTTCCTCCCTGACGTCCGCCTGCTCCTCTTCATCGACGGGTGCGCCACGCCCAAGTCCACAGTCCACACCACCGCCTGCAAGAACGGCAGACAACCGGTCGATCTCCCCACGCCGGTAAGTCGCTTGGCATTGGATTTCTGATCCATTCTTTTCAATGCAGTCGCTTGACAACCAGTCGATCTCCCCACGCCGGTAAGCTGGTATGCTGCAGTTTTCAAATGCTGCTGTGTATTTCTGAATGGTTTAGTTCAGTACAACTGTTGGAGGACTAGTATCTTGCCTAGCCAAACTAGCCGATCTGTGCTAGACCAGTGCACTATGAGTCCTCTGTTTTTTCCCCCCGAAAGATCCATGGGGGAATTGACTGGAATTGCTCATCTTTACAGTAGTACTGATTATTCAGTGATTTATTTGGCAAAAAATAATAGCCAGATATTATTAAAATAAGTTCTTTCTCACCCTGTGCTAATTAATAAGACTATACATTCCATTGCGTGGACCAGTTCTCACATTTTGGGTTTTGAGATTTCACTCCTACTGCACAAATGGTTACAGTGAGATGATTCACTGCAGGCTTTGGACAATGCTAACTAGGTAGCAAATAGTAATGGGGCAATACTGGAACACATTTAAGCTTAAAAGGCTATGATCGAATATAAGTGTTCATTAATGTTGTACATACGAGATGCAATTTTGACCACAGAATGCATTTACAGTAGCCTAGAGGATGCTGGCGAATGATTGCATTTAAATATGCCATATCTTTATTTCTTTGTCGATTTTCAGTAAATCTGGCCTGAATCTTGTTAAGCGGAAAGTCCTTTATACTAGATTATGCAATGCTCTTATGTCTGTGCAGGCGCACCTCTGTCGCTCGCCGCCATTGTGCAGCACACGTCGCCCGCAGCACTGAAGGCTGGCTTAAGGTAAGTCCAGGTGTTTGTGACTTGTGAGTGCCATACTATCCATGATCCGACAGCAATACAAAGGCTCTGCATAGCGGTCAAACATGAATGACCTCAGCTGCTACCTTCCCCTATACTATTTCATCATACTGCAGAAATATGGTGAGAATTTTTTTTGGCTTTTGTTTCCCCTCTCCACTGCATGCAACCTGTTAGGTATAATGCCAGATCGGAGTAGTTGACTTGCTGGACAGTATAGAACTTGGATATTCAGAGTTCACCTATTCTGAATTGCTGCTACCAACTGATGGTGCCAGTTTTTTCCCATTTATCCATAAAGATAACACTGTTAGAGTTTGCATTTGATCTACTTCAGACTTTCACAGCCATTCTCAAACTGAATACCTAAAAGATGGAGCATTTGTCAGCTTGTAAGCATTTGTCAGAATAGGCAACACTAACCTATAGAAGTTCTCTAACCCTCCAATTGCTACCAGACAGTAAGCATTTGTCAGCTTGTAGAAAATGCCTCCTTCACAGTCATTCTAAAACTGAATACCTGAGAGTTTCCATGCCACAAGTTGCATGAGCAGCAGGGTGAACGATTAAGTATCCATATCTTTTTTTTTTTCTTGATGAAACACCAGACGAGGACAAAGCATGTACATGTTCATGAACAAAACAGAACTGTACTTGAAATATAAATACTAATTCTACAAACTATAAGCTAGCCTTCACCTGTACATATTTTTCAGGATAATATAACCTCCATCACCAGCATGTAAATCTGTTGTCGGAAAGTGAATAGGACTGAACAGAAGATTGGTTCGTCAATTTTTTCTGTTCATGAACCGAGAATTCAAGTTTGTTTTCTATCCTGCCTTCTGTTCAAGGTCCGGCAATTGGAATTGGCAATTGAATCTTGTTATTGCAGCAATAAAGAGGGCTAGATATAAGGACAAGACTTTCTTACAGTGCTAGGCATATCTCAAATAGAAGAGAAGGTTCAAGAAATACATGTTTTCTACTCTGAAATTTACTCTGAAAAGTGGAAGGTCCTTTATACTTTGACACCTATTTTCTGAATTGATTGCCTTGAGTTCACTTCTGAATAACCTTGGATTGACTGAATGCAAAACATGTATCCCTGCTCGTTGCTCCATCTTTTTATGGTTCTTGCCTAAGAATTATTTTTTACTGCAGGTAGAGACTTAGGAATTGCAAGTGGAAAAATCAAGACAGGTATATCTACATCCATGATCTGGTTAGCTAAAGCAGCTTCAGCTCGTGCTAAATTTTTCGGCAATGATGATGATTGCTATTCTGATTTTCAGTAGTACAGAGGAGCACAATACCTTACTAGTTAGTGCCCCGCAACCTTGTAGTATTATTCTGCTATTTTTAGGATCAGTTTGTCCAGTACAAAGTGTATGAGTCTCTGATCCTTATGCTATTGGCGTGCTATAGTTCTCCTTTTTGATACCTCATATCATATGCTATACTGACTATGAAGGGCTTTCGCTCTACAATTGGTGGCTGTCGGTTTCTATTTTTCCTGTACCATTTCTATGCTAGATCTTAAGTGCTATTTGCAATTAATATTAACTATTTTACTCTTTCTATTATAGATCCATACAATGGTGTCCGTGCAACGCACGATCTCTTGGTCGAACTGTTGAGAGATTAAGTTCTTAATTGTACAATATATTGTAAAATATGTATCAAGACACAAACTTGTTAAGATCAAGGTGAGTGCTCGTGTGTGATGATTTGGAGTTATATTTTAACTATCTATCTTTCTTGAAGACTTATGCAATATTGATGTTCCAATCACTACGATTGCAGTATCTATTTTAGTTAACATTATAACACACGTTCATACATATGTTATCATGGTATTATATGTTCCCGTTGCAACGCACTAGCATTTATCTAGTCCTCTATCTCCTGCAACTAAAAAGAACAAAACTAACACATTTTTTTCGTGCGACAATGTTTCGGGGGTCATCGCTCTGTCGTACTTGCGATCCGGTCGTCGCTCTGTCGTACTTGCGATCCGCGTTCCCTCCCTCCCAAGACTACCCTGTCAATCACGCGCGATGGGACCTGCCCCTGCTCCGTCGCACTCGCCGCCATCCCGTCCTGCCCTTCTCAATGTCGCCAATGCAGACCTGGCGCCCTCCACTGCCTCTCCCCCGCCGAACCGACGCCCCGCCCCGCCCCTGCCACACCCTGGTTGGCTCTACGCAGCCACCGCAGATGGGACCTGGCCGAGGTCACGGCCCTGCCCCTGCCCTATCACGCCAGCGTCGCCGCCCCATCCCTGTCCCTTCACGCGCGTTGGTGCCGCTGGAGGTTGGATGGCCAGGACGTGTTGGCAGCGGGCCTCTGGATCTGGGCACCACGATGGAGGACGCCGGCTGCGAGGGCACCACTTGCGCGAAGAATGGGATCAAAGGGGACGAGTATGTCGTCGCAAAGGTAGTCGTGGAAGGGTACCTATCGCCGCCAGTGATCGCGGGGATCTCGCTGCGCCCACCGAGGACACATCGCTTGCCGGATTTAAGGACGCCACCGCTGCAGCGGTGACAGCGGTAGCGGAGGACAAGGCTGCGGCACCGGCGAAGGTGCCGGCCAAGGTGAGTTTTCTGCCTTCTGGGCTCCTAGCCAACCTGTACGACGCCAGACGACCTCGCCAACCTGCCGCCGCCGCGACACAGCACCTCCGTTCCTCGGCCTGGACCAGCACACGCCGCCGCCGCGGACGGGCCACTACCGGACGCGACGCCTGCGACCCTGCGCCTCCGCTCCGCCACCTCGACGCCACAAGGGCCGTGCGCTCCACTCTGGCACTGGCTCGATCTACAGCTGCTCATCACCCATCGGCCCCGGCAGTCCTCGCGCCGCCGCCGTCGACTGCGTGTCCTGGGCCGCTGCGCCCGTACAGGCCCTGGCTTCGATTTGCGAGTTGTGACACCACTGACGTCTCCCGTGCCAGGCAACACCTTCCAGGCCCAAGGTGAGTTTCCGTCGTTTCTCCCTCTCCCTCAGATCTGAATAGGAAGGCCCCCTATTAGTTAGTTCCTTGAAAAGCTAAACTGACACTTGTTATTAAATTAAATAGCTAATTGATGATAGTTTTTAAAGATATATGCTGTAATTTAGTACTTGAGATAACCGGTAAATTTAGAATGACAGTGCATACTACTGGCATTTTAGACCTGGACATTCAGTTTCAATTATTGTGCATTTGGTTTCCATTGACCATGCAGTGCACCTAGCTAATAACTTTGTTGATTATCTTGAAGGTATTAGAAACTACGAAATTTGGTTAGTATGAAATGCATCTGTCATACTATACTGTAGTAAAAAGAGCCTGTGTCGTGCTTTAAATTTCATATCATAATTCACTCAAGTAGTGCTGAGTGCTTACCAAAAGAAAACCAACTTTTACGTGTAATTTTCAGAACAAACTAGAAAAATTTTAACCAAATTGACTATGGTTAATCGAAACAAAAACAAAAATTTTTCAATAACCTCACCTCCCTAAATCATTGCCTTATTAATTGATCTTGATCAGAACTACTTTGCTTCGATTCGCTGAAGCAATACTTTGCAATAATCCATAAATCCATATTCAGGGCCAATGATTTAGAAGGCATTTCAGTTTATAATTATGTAAATGCAGAGCGCAAGGAAACAGTCAATGGTTTTGAGGAACTTTAATTTTTGGGACCAATTATATTTCAGTTGAAATTTTAACGAGTCAATGGTAAAAGATAACTTTATCACCGGTTACAATTTGGTAAAAGATAGGAGGATACCGATTTCAGTTTGATTCAAGACTCATCTCAAAATAAAAGTTCGTTGTAGCTTGATCTGATTTCATGGATGATATAGACTGTTCTGTGACATAATTTATTAGGAAACGTGAAAATATTTGAGTTATTATTGGACATCAGCACCGAAAGCTAGCAGCTGCACACTTTGTAGCGACTTACTGTTTTTTTATTGATCTAACAGAGCTTTTAGCTGGCAGCAGCAGGTCACCATTCTTCCAATTTCTTCTTGGCTATTTGCCATGCATCACGAGCTAGCTATTTGCCATGCTTCTTGGATGTTTGGCTATCCAGCACAACACTGCTTGGGTTCTGACATGCCAGGGAGGTTGTAGGGTACTGTTCTACAGGTGTACAGGGTACGATCCTCGGTATTGTGGTTGACTTGAGTGCCCTGCCTTA